AGGAGGAGGAGGAGGAGGAGGAGGAGGAGAAGGAGAAGGAGAAGGAGAAGGAGAAGGAGAAGGAGGAGAAGGAGACGAAGGTTCAAATCCGCACTCTGCTGTGAAAGCTCAGTGGGTGGTCTTGGGCCAGTGTCTCCCTCCCTCCCCCTCTCTTTCTCTCTCACTCAGCCTAACCTACTTCACAGGGTTGTTGTGAGGATAAAAACAGAAGAGGGGAGAACGATGGACACCTCTCCGAGCTCCTCAGAAGCACGGGTGGGATTCCTTAAAGCACTAAATAAAAGCCTACCAAATACCTCCGAACAACCCCCGTCCCTCTACCTTGTCGAAGCTCTCATAGTGCTCTTTGACGTATTTCTGCAGGAAAGCGAGGAGCCGTGTGTTCAGTTCCTTAAACTTCTTCATGGCGGGGTTCGGGAGGTAGCGGAGCAGGGGGATGAAATCGGCGGGGCTGCCGACCGCAGCGACCTCTTCAAAATCTTCAAAGAAGTTGACTATGTTGAGCAGCTCCTGGTCATCGTGACGGTAGCGTTGGCCAAAGCAGATGGCACAGATGACATTGGCCACGGAGACCCCTAGGTACCCATAGGGGTCAAAACTCTCCTTCTCCTCCATCACTTGCTGAAGCTCCATAACCAAGGACTCTGCCTCGTTGGAGATGTGCTCCTCCAGGAGGCAGCTCAAAGAGGACGTGGGGCTGGTGGAGGACGCAAAGGTCTTCAGGGCGTTCTGGACCAGTTTCCTGCGGGCCTGACACACTTCCTTGGAATCCCTCCCGAAGGTTAAGCTCTGGCCATCGGCGATGTGGCGGAAGCTGTAGAGATCAGGGCGCCCCATGAAGCCCTCTCCTTGCTTCACCAAGGCCTGTTTGATGGTGTCCAACCCGCTGATGACCACTACCGGCCTCGTGCCGATGTGGATCTTCATGACGTCTCCATACTTCTGGCGCATCTGGGTCAGTTTGACATGAGGCTTCTTCCCCAGTTGTAGGATATTGCCGATGAAGGGGTAGCCCCGCGGTCCTGGGAGTTTCTTCAGGCCTTGCGGTATCTTCTCCCGGGAGGATACAATGACGTAGAAGACCAAGCAAAGGACAGACAGCACAACAAGGGCTTCTGTGATGGGGATTGTACCGGCATCTTCCACCATTGCCGCCGCCCACATTTTAGGAAACCTAGTTGGGTTTAGAAACCTAGTTGAGTTTAGAAATCTAGCTAGTTTAGACTCTTAGCTGAGAGAACCGAGGGCTTTCCCACATTTTATTTATTGTTCTATTTATTTATTTATTGAATTTCTACCCACCCACCCCTTCCAGCCAAGGCCGGCTCAGGGCAGCTTACATATAGTCAACACATAGTTTACAACAGAACATAAAGCATCAATTAGATTAATTGTCCTGGTCTGTAAGTTCCTGTTTCTTCAGGGGAGGGTTCTGTTCTGGATGTGTTTTGCTCCCTCTAGGGGCCGATTCAATATTACATCCATTTATGTCTGGCCTAAAAACCTGCAGTTTAAATCTGCAGGGAGGGATGCGGGAAGTAAACTGGTGTAAGATAGAACTGACCACTAGTTGAGGAAACCAAGTTCAGTTTAGAAACCTAGTTGTGGAAACTAGCTGGGTTTAGAAACCTGCTTGAGTTTAGATGACCGACATAAGAATGAAAGCCAATTTGGTATAGTGGCTAAGTGCATGGACTCTAATCTGGGAGGACCGGGTTTAATTCCATACTCCTCCACATGCAGCTGCTGGCGTGACCTCGGGTCAGTCACAAGTTCTCTCAGAGCTGTTCTCTCAGGGGCAGTTCTCGAAAAAGCTCTTTCAGCCCCACCTACCTCACAGGGTGTCTGTTGTGGGGAGGGGAAGGGAAAGGAGTTTGTAAGCCGCTCTGAGACACATATGCAAATAAGTTGTGCTAATGAGTTATGCTAATGAGCTCCTGCACCTCTTTTTCTACGAAATGACCCCTGGCCAGAACTATGGTTTGCCCATGGTTATCCAGCAGCTGCGAGGGGAGGAGAGGGGAAATCAAACTCGGTTCTCCCAGATCAGAGTCCGCGCACTTAACCACTACACCAAACACTTTCCCTAAAATGCTTGCAGTGCAGCGAAGTGCTTATGGCACTGTCTCCGTGCGCTGCCGAATCATGCGCAGGTGCTCTCTATTTAGCTCTACCTGCTTCCTTCCATCCCCCTTCCTAGACTGCCAAAAAAAAATAATGGAAGGATCAGAAGCCATCAGCAGCACCTGAAAAATCCCAGGTGACAGACACGCGCATAAAGGCAGCATTCACTTACTTCAGATAGACTTTCTGCTCCACTTTGCAGTGCAAAAGACAGCTCTCGCTCTCGCTTGGCTTTTTGTAGACTGAATCCGTGCAACAATAAGTAACATGAGATATTGTTATTGCACGGGGTGTTATGCCTCCTTTCCTCTCCCCTGATTGGCTGTTCTGGCTGTAGCCTGGAGACTCAAAAGTCGTCAGAAAGCCAAGTTCCTTCAAACATTGGGAAGAGAGTCACCAGCCGGAGGGAAACCTGCCAGTTCAAAGATTCCATTTCTGCGTCTACGAAGCTGATTTTGCAAGGAGGTAGAGCCAGGGTGCGGCTAACGAAGGTTTATGCCGCGGTCAACAGAGAAATGGGCTTAGTGTCAAAAACAAAGCTTATTGTAAAGTGGTTTCGGGGGGGTGTCAGCCGTGGTGGTCTGCAGCGGTGGTGGCCCCTGTGGCTGAAACGATGTTTTGATCTGCGCAGCCAATCGGAAGCCCTGCTGGCCGAGAGCCCCACCTGACTCCACCCACTGTCTAAAAACAATTGGTGGGCACCAGGAAAGGTGTCAGGGGGTGCCATGGAGCCCGTGGGCGCTACGTTGTGGACCCTGGTCTAAGGTGCAGGAAGCTGCACGTGAAGAGGGTGCTGACTCTTCTTTCAGCTTAGAAAACCCGATAGACGCTGCAGATGAAGGAAAAGAAGAAGAGATTGGATTTATACCCCGCCCTTCACTACCTAAAGGAGTCTCAGAGCAGCTTACAAACTCCTTTCCCTTCCCCTCCCCACAACAGACACCCTGTGAGGTAAAAGAAGAAGAAGAGATTGGATTTATACCCGGCCCTTCACTACCCGAAGGAGTCTCAGAGCGGCTTACAAACTCCTTCCCCTTCCCCTCCCCACAACAGACACCCTGTGAGGTAAAAGAAGAAGAAGAGATTGGCTTTATACCCGGCCCTTCACTACCCGAAGGAGTCTCAGAGTGGCTTACAAACTCCTTTCCATTCCCCTCCCCACAACAGACACCCGGCCCTTCACTACCCGAAGGAGTCTCAGAGTGGCTTACAAACTCCTTTCCCTTCCCCTCCCCACAACAGACACCCTGTGAGGTAAAAGAAGAAGAAGAGATTGGATTTATACCCGGCCCTTCACTACCCAAAGGAGTCTCAGAGTGGCTTACAAACTCCTTTCCCTTCCCCTCCCCACAACTGGCACCCTGTGAAATAGGTGAGGCTGAGAGAGCTCTGACCAATGCTCCCTCTAAGCTGTGGAGTCCTGTGAGCAAAAATTCTACTTTGTGAGCTACTGGCATTAAAGTTGTGAGCAAGCGATTTGGCTACTGCGTAAATGAGTTTGCTTTGGAGCCATCCTTCCTGAGCTGAGACAAAAATCTGTGAGCCGGAGGCTAAAAAACTGTGCGCTAGCTCAAACTAACTCAGCTTAGAGGGAACACTGGCTCTGACAGAAACTGCTCTTTTTTCCAGGACAGCTCTTATCAGAACGATGGCTTGCCCAAGGTCATCCAGCCAGGTGCAAGTGGAGGAGTGGGGAATCAAACCCGGTTCTCCCAGATTAGAGTCCGCGCACTTCACCACTGCACCAAACTGAAGGAAAAGAACGAGGATATCAGGATTTATCCCGCTACCACCGGGTCCTTCTTGTGTTACAGGGTTGCCAGCTCTGGGTTGGAAAATATCCGGAGCTTTAGGGGGTGAAGCCTGAGGAGGGCGGGGTTTAGGGATGGGAGGGCCTTCGGTGCCATAGAATCCGCCTGCCAGAGCGGCCATTTCCTCCAGGTGAATGGACTGCTCCACTATTCTTGCATTCTAATTTAACACGCTGCTCTTTCGGCACATACAACTGTGTTCTGTAATTCCATTTCATCGTCTGACGAAGTTGTGCCGCGCGCACGAAAGCGCACGCCTTGCATAAAACTTTGTTGGTCTTAGAGGTGCCAAGGGACTCGAACTTTGTTCCGTCGCTTCAGACCAGGGGTCATTTCGTAGAAAAAGAGGTGCAGGAGCTCATTAGCATACCTCTTTAGCATAACTCATTAGCATAACTTATTTGCATATGCCCCGCCCCCTGACACCACCGGAAGTGTGTCAGAAGGCAACACCCACCGCTCAGGCTCCACTGGACTGTTTTGGATTGCTAGCTATTGGGGGGGGGGGGAACGTGCAGATCTGTCCTCGCAGAGGAGGGAGAGCTTGTACCTGAATAAAACGCGGTCTGAAAGGTGCCACTGGACTGTTTTGGACCGGAAGGCGGAGGGGTGGGCTCTGCAACTTACCTGTCTGCTTCTTGCTCTGACTGAGGGCTGCTGGGAGCAGGGGGCGGGGCTTGTTGCATGTGCCCGCCCCCTGGGCTCCTTACTGCCGGAGCTCTGCTCCAGTGCGCTCCTGTAGGAAATGACCCCTGTTTATTTTAATAATTTTTTATTAATTACACAATCTCCTTTTAGTAAATTACCCCTGTCTATATTAATATATTTTTTATTAATGACACAATCTCCTTTTAGTTCTTTTGCCTCTCTTTTCCCAACTTTAATTTCACAGCATCTCATTGTCTCGGTTCAGGTGGGTAGCCATGTTGGTCTGAAGCCGCAGAACGAAGTTTGAGCCCAGGCAGGGGCACCTTTAAGACCGACAAAGTTTTATCCTGGGTATAAGCTTTCATGTGCAGGCACACTTCTGAAGAGGGTATGCATGCACACAAAAGCTTATCCCTTGAATAAAACTTTGTCGGCCTTAAAGGCGCCTCTGGACTCAGACTTTGTTCCATCATCTAGTCGTTTGTTCGAGATTTTGACCGCTCTGTAATAAAGTTAACGTCAATCCCTTGAACACGTCCGTTGCCTTCTTTAACCTATCTATTAACTGTGGTCTGCCATTTGACCGCCAAGTCTTGCAAAAGCCAATCTGGCCGCAACCGAAAGATAGGGCAAGGTATTTAGCTGATACCTAAAAGCAAGGTGCCGGCAACACAGGGACCCGGGTACATGACGTGGGCGAAACCATTGCAGGACTGCATCCCCACATTTCCCACAGAAACAGATCAGCAGCCTGTTCGTGACAAACTCCGATTGGGAGCAAAACATCTGCCTGTGCCAGGCAGGGCTGGATCCTGCGCCTCCCAGCTGCTGGGCATCCGAAATTGGCCTTGCGTGCCAGGCAACTATAGCTCCCCGCCTCCGACACCTGAACACACCCTGCCTGATCTCTCTGTCTCTCTGTCTCTCTCTCTTGCACACTCACGCAAGGGTTTAGGCACTCACGCGGCCTCCTCCAGAGATTGCTCAGCTGTGACAAACAGTCCCTTGCCGTGGGAAACGCGATTGGCTCCTGGCTAGGAGTCAGCAAACTGTCTCGAGGGCCTACTTAGGTGTAGAGTGTTTCACTAATTCAGAGAGGAAGAATCCCCCCCTCCATTCCCCACTGCAATCCACATAGTTTCATAGGGTAGCTGCGTTTGTCTGCCATAGAACGTCTAAATTGGAATCCATTAATACCTTAGAAACCAATAAGATTCTCGGGGTACAAACCTGTGAGAGGCAAAGCTGCCTCCGTCGGATACAAGGAGGAAAGGAGTTGTATCGACTGAAGGGAGCTTTGATTCCGGGAAGCTTAAAGTCCTAAAATTTTGTTGGTCTCTACCGATGCTCCCTGTAAGAGCCAGTTTGGTGTAGTGGTTAAGTACGTGGACTCTAATCTGGGAGAACCGGGTTCGATTCCCCACTCTCCGCTTGCACCTGGCTGGATGACCTTGGGCAAGCCGTAGTTCTGATAAGAGCTGTTCTTGAAAAAGAGCAGTTTCTGTCAAGAGCTCTCTCAGCCCCACCTACCGCACAGGGTGTCTGTTGTGGGGAGAGGAAGGGAAAGGAGTTTGTAAGCCGCTCTGAGACACCTTTGGGTAGTGAAGGGCGGGGTATAAATCCAATCTCTTCTTCTTCTTCTTCTTCTTCTTCTTCTTCTAAGTTGTGGAGTCTTGTGAGCAAAAATTCTACTTTGTGAGCTCCTGGTGTTAAAGTTGTGAGCGAGAGATTTGGCTGCTGCATAAATCAGTTTGCTCCAGAGCCCTCCTTCCTGAGCGGAGACAAAAATGTGTGAGCCGGAGGCTAAAAAACTGTGAGCTGGCTCACACTAACTCAGCTCAGAGGGAACACTGTCTACTGGACTCGCTGCACGCCGCGATACAGATTAATCAATCAAGTGTGTTATGAGATCCAGGCGGGGTCGCTGTGTCGGTCTGAAGCGGCAGAACAAAGTTGGAGTCCAGTGGCCCCTTTAAGGCCAACCGAGTTCTATTCAAGGTGTGATCTTTCGTACGCGTGCACACAGAAGTATACTGTGGCTTACTAAAGACGGACAGATTTCCTGCAACATCAGCTTCATGGGTTATAGCCCACCTTGTCAGATGCATGAATTGGAATGAATGGAGGGAGGGAGGGAGGGAGGGAGAGACAGACAGACAGATAGATAGAGCCAGTGTAGTCTCCTGGTTGGAGTGTCAGATGAGGATCTGGGAGACTCAAGTTCGAATCCTCTCTCTGCCCTGGGGAAGCTTGCTGGGTGAACTTGGCCAGTCACAGAGAGAGAGAGAGAAAGAGAGAGAGAGAGGGAGGGAGGGATGCAGGGAGGGAGGAAGAGAGAGAGAGTGAGAGAGAGAATGCCTTATCTACCTCACAGGGTCATTGTCAGGGGTCATTTTCTGCAGGATCGCACAGAAGCGGAGCTCCGGCAGTGAAGAGCCCAGGGGGCGGGCACATGCAACAAGCCCCGCCCCCTGCTCCCAGCAGCCCTCAGTCAGAGCAAGAAGCAGCCAGGTAAGTTGCAGAGCCTCCCCCCCTCCCCAGCCGCGCTGAGGAGCAGAGCCCAGGGAAGGTCTCCAGAGCCCCGCCGCCCGCCTTTCCCGGCACCTGCCGGGTGGAGGAAGCAGGGGGGGCTTGATTGGGGGGATGGGCCATGGGGGATCTGTGAGGGCAGATCTGTGCGTACCACCCCCCCCAATAGCTAGCAATCCAAAACAGTTCAGTGGAGCCTGAGCGGTGGGTGTTGCCTTCTGACACACTTCTGGTGATGTCAGTGGGTGTGG